TATATATATATATATATATATAGTCATACCAATCTGTGTTCTTCATATGTCCATGTGAAAGAATTCTAACTGTCATTTCAGTTTTGTGAAATTTATATTCATGAAAAGACATCCAACAAACATTTAAGGATGATTGGATAACATTTGTTCACACTAATTGCCTTTCCCTGCTTTTATTTCTAGCTGATCAATGGATTATGTCAAACTGAACCTGCACTTTTCTTTCTGATTTTGTGAGTGATTAACATTGAGATTCTTACTTACATAATGTACATAAGCACATCATGTATTGGAATCTACCAAGAATATGGTCATTTACAATATTAATATAAACAACACTTATCCCATGCTGAAATGAAACAGGTAAGCTCTGCTTCTTACTCAGTGACAATGCAAAAAAAAATCCACACATGTATGCTTACAACACTTCCCTCTCTTGTGTCATAAGTACTTCCAAAACCTTTTGAGGTACATTGTGAAAGGTTTGGAACTTTTTGTTTTTTTACTTAGTGAAACCCATGTATTTTAACAACTGAGAGCAACTATTCAGTCATATAAAGCATACAATTTTTTCAAGATGAGTTATAGTATTTAAATTCTTTACTCAAAGATGTTAAAAGTAATTTTTATGTTTAACCTGTGTGTTTTGATTACAGAGGAAATGATAGACTCCAGTCTAACAACAGTACATCAGTCTGCCTTGGTAAGACCTAATAGCATGTTGCATGTTAGAATTAGTGTAAGGTGAAGGTGCATTTGTTTGGCTTGAGTATTAAAGCTAATAGAATGTTTAACATGTTGCATCTAAGAATTAAAATGTAATGTGAGTATGCATTTGTTGGGCTTTGATTGTTCTTTTTGTTCAGTTTTTGTCTTTGTAACCCTGCATGCAGCTCTTTTCTGTCCACTGTTTGTGATACATTAGTGAGAAGAAGAAAAAAAACAACCTTTTCCTAGGTCTTTTTTTCTTGGAAAATTTTTGATATTCTTAAAATTTATAAATTCAAGTGGTAGAACATTACCTTATATTGAAGAAAAGATACACCGCATTTAAGGTATTATATATATATATATATATATATTCAGTAATTTTAATTTCATAAATAGGTAATGGCCACAAAATAGCATTTTATACCACTTGGGTTCATAAAAAGTCAAAGTGGCATTGGATGATATATCTTTTTAGTTATTGTGTGAAGTTCTGTGATTCACCAAAAATGTTATCCCAAACACTTTCAGCATCTATAAATAATGAATCATTCTATACAACATGTATGTGTAATTTTCACATATTAGATTCAAAATGGTTTTCAAGAAGACAAGAATCATCCTGAGCATTATCAGTTTAAGGTCTGCGTAAAAAGTACTGAGATTTTTATTCTATGAACCAGTGAAAATAGAGGTTTGATGTCATATCTAGTTTCTCATATGATGTTCAAGAATTGGTTGAGATATTTGTTGTTTTAGGGTGTCACATCTATGTACCAAAATTTAAAACATTTTATAACTGTTTACGTTAGTAATACCTTGACATTTGTGGTACTTAGACACACACACACACACACACACACACACATGCAGTGTGATTTCTGCCTCAGTTCTATGAAAAAGTGTGGAACTAGCAGGATTTGCACAATCTATAAAACTTGTTGTACCAGTGGATGTGCTTTTGCTGGTTGCTTTTATGCCATATAAAGAAATATTTGCTTTCTGTCATGTGATTCATGGTAGACCAGTGTGATCATGTGTCCTTTAACTAGTAGTGATTTTCCTCTCTTGCTCTAACAGGGTTTTACCCAAGGTGTGGTTTCTCCACCCTCTGGTTTACTCTCAGTTGGGCATGCCTCTCATCACTGCCTTTGCTACTTTTTATTCCAAACTTCCACTCTTCTGGTCTTCAATTCTTCATCTTCTAGCCATTTCAGCCAATGCTTTCAGGCAGGACTGAAATACTCGACACTCCTTGTCGGGTTCTCTTGATGGTGCCTGTTTGGTAGGCTCTTTATTTGGCATCTAAGCCCATTCTTCCTCTGCCCCATTCATACTCTCTTACTTCTAACACATCTTTCTCTCTCCCACGGGCTGGATACTCTGCTCATGTGGTCTTTTTCTGATCCCATTCCTGTCCACCTATCACTTGTGTTGGGTTTATCAACATTGATCCATCTGTCTTTTCACTTGGT